GAGGGGTCAAATTTGATTGCTCGACGTTGAAGAAGATTTAGTAAAATTAGGATTGTCTTCGATCAACACATGAAAAGGGTTGCAAGCTAAGCGTCAAAAGAAATACATGCCCTTAGATTACTATGACAGGTTGTGCAAGAACTTACGAATCTACAACAACGCAACATATTAGTGATAAGAGTATATTCAAAGATTAAAGAATTAATGTTTTAAGATCGGAGCGTAGAAGACCCCGTCAAACAATTGCACGATTCTTGATTCGTTAAGGGATGATATAAGGTGAGAATTGCTTTGCCAAGCAATATACAACCTCGAACATGCATTCCAAGTGGTACTTGATATGGAGATGTGCTTAAAATTCATTCATCGAGGTAATACATCTGGAGTTTCTTCTTCTAATGAGACTAAAACTCAAAAGTCATTTGCATGTAATGTGCAGCATAAAACAACAAGCGATCCAATAATTCAAGAAGAAACATATCAAGTAGATGAACCTACACAATCTCATGGCACTTCGCCAATTATTTGTCCAGAGGCAAAGGTAAAAGTTAAATATCCGGATAATACTTATGTTGTGGAACTTAGGAAAATGGAAGAAACAACAACTCGTAATAATCAAACTTAGTTTTAGAGATGACAAGTTACTATTTGAGTGCTCCAAAAATAGTGCCAAAAGAGTTGTTGGCTGAAATTCCTCCAATTAATGATTTTCAACCAACAATATTAGTACCTTAAATGCTTGATTTTTTTGCATCCACTACGAATCTAAGTGAGCATAAAGAGCCATGATGCTACCATATTCTAGCAATGCTCAAGAGAATATCAAGGCTACACCAAAAAAAGCTATCACCATAAAAAACTAGGAAAATCAAAATCTTTTACTACAAGTTTGAACGTGCAACACGTAGGGAAAGCTAAAACTGAAGGGCACACTAACAGGCTTCATGTTCAATGTCAATTCAAGAAATTGATTTCCACTCATTTTACTCCACCAATTGATTTTGTCAAAAACTCGATGACATGATCAAGAATTGTCTAACCATTAGACAGATTTTTCAGGATTTAAGCATTCCAAAGAATTGCCTAACCATTAGACAGTGAATGGTCTGTAAATGGCTAGTTACATTGTATTTATGGTGGTCAAAAGATATGTTACTACTACTGCTAGCCCTGCTATGTTTACTGATTTGCTGCTAGAAGTGTGACCAATGTGAAAACCATTATTTTGCTGAAAACCTTGAAGAGGTTGTTGTGATCCTAGAAATTGTTGGCTTAAAGTTGTGAATTAATGGTGAATGTTCAGAAGGCAAGATGCAGATTTTGAATATTATAAGAGTCTAATAAAGGGTTGGGTGTAATGTTTTGAGCCAGAATCATGCTGATAATATGACCCTTAACTGCTAGATGATGAATGCCGAGTTTAGATGACAGATGACTAAAGCAAAGAGTTTAGAGATGCAGGAATTATATGTTTTCCATGTGTTTTTGCATTCTTTTTTAGGTGTTTTTCTAATATTTTCCCCCTTTTTGTATTAAGGTTCATTGTCTGTCCTAAAATTTCCATTTTGTTTACCCATGAAACAATCTGCGGACTCAGTTGAAGGAATATGAATGGAAGCATAAAACTATGGCGAAGTGCTGATAAATTTCATGGAATGAGAATGTTGTAAACAAGTGAATGACTGAATTTTCATTACAAAGCCAAAACTAAAAAGCTGCGATTTAACGTCTGCCTATACACACAAGTGACATGGGTGGCAGCTCCTTGGTGGAATTTTTTTGAGAATTTTACTATAAAAGGGTAAATTTTTATTTTTGGCATTTGTATGAGTTATTTTGAAAATGTGTTATGTTTAAAATAGAAATGTAAGATATTGAAAAACTACTTATTTTTTAAAAAGTCCCGAAGTTGTTCTTGGTTTTGGGAATGGAAGGTGATCACAAAACTATGGTTTGAAACTTGTATGTTCAGTATCGACAAACAGAGAGTTAGTAGATTGTTGGGGCTCTTGAGGGGTGTTGCCAAGGCTACTACAAGTCCTTGGGGGGATTGATGATGGTAGTGATTTTCGGTGATGGCCTATGCGGCATCACAAGTTGAGCCCTACACATCCAACCTTGAAAGGAAGAAGGGTGATGAGACCCTAAGGAATAAGACCCAAAATGTTCGTTGGGATTGTTCATTCATGATATTTGTCCAAATGGGTAGTACACATGGATTTTGGATGTTAAGAAACCATCAGGTCAATATTCCAACAAACTTAAAGAGTGGGGTGAGGTGAAGTGAGATTGAGGCGAAAGTACGTAAAGTTAATATTTTTTAAAAATAAACTGAAAATAATAAGTTTATGAAATTTTGTTCAAAATAAGAAATAATGACTATACCAGATTTATTATCCATATGGTTGTATAAAGATTTCTCACTCTGTGCTTTATAAAATCAATATTGTTGCATTAACTTTGATTTTGATGTGACAAATTCCTTGTTACACTTACATATTTCAAGTGATAGTACGTAGTGTACTTTCAAAAATATTTATTAATTATCGTGTACCTAGACTTAAGGTTGACTTATTTCACTACCTACTATTATGATTGTGAATTGATGGCATTTAAAACCTTTTGTATGATTGGGAAAATGATTATCTTACTAGGTTTTGGTTGCTCATCTCTTGGAGTGTCTAGCCCCGCGAATTTTTTTTTTCGACTAGGCTTGGGTAGTGTAGACCTAAGCCTTTACCCAAGTGAGTTATCGGGCGGTCGGGCTGGGCTGGGCTGGGCTTCGGGTAGGGGTAGGCAACCCGCAGCCCAACCTGTGAATCTATTGGGCAAGCCTGTGGGAGAGTTTACTCGCGGGTTTTTTATATACAACTTCATTTAAAAATAATGAATATTTTTGTAACTTAATATTTGTGTAAATTATATTTTTGAATCAAAAGTAAAGAAAAATGGATAAAAATAAAATAATAAATAATTTTATTTTTGATTAGGGGATGAACCACATCTAATAGAATGAATACGTCTCAACTAGGTTGACTCCTACTCACTTATCTATCATTTTCATTTCTCTATCCTTTAAAACGTGTATGCTTAATATATGGAAAAGAAAATAATAGATTATTTATAATATCTAAATTTTTAAAACTTTAAATTCTGATATTGGGAGACTTATTTTAAAATTTCAAATTTAATATTCTAAAAGTAAAACTTTTTTTCAAAGGAAGAGTGGGCGGGCTCTTGGGCCGGGTAATGGGTTTGGGGCCAAACCCAAACCCTCTTTTTAAGGATATTGGACTCGACCTCGGGTGGGTTAACTATCGGGCCTATCGGGTTTCGAGCCTATTTTTTTCGAGCTAGGTAACTGGAGTTGTGGGTAACCTGACTCATGGACACCCCTACTCATCCCCTTCTAGCTTTTTCAGAGAGTACCGTGCATCTCGAGACTTAGTTGATGTAGACTTGTGGGAGCTTGGGCTTGGAGGGACTCCTTTTGAAAACCTTTTTTGTATTTACTTTTAGAACATTGTATAGAAATATGATTACACACAATTTTATTTGAAGGGTATTTTGAGAAGCTTGTGATGTAAAGTTAATTACCTCATGAGAGGTTATTCTTTTGGGTACTGTAATATAAAGTTATGACTTTAGTGTTAAGTTTTGGTAGATAAAACTTATGCAGGAATATCAAGTTTGAGAGGATTTCGTGGGTCTTCATTTGCCACCCCAACATTATATTGGATTATGTTGTGATGAATGAATGTTGTGGATCCTAGTTAGTTGTTTATGATCGGTATGATGGGGATAGTTAGTTGGATTTAGTTTGTTATATATAATACTATAATAGGTCGCTCTTGCCTATGTTTGGAATGCCAAACTTTCAAACAAAACCACGCTAGATTTTCAACAAAAAAAATGTGTTTATTAAAATTAAATGAATTTTTGTAATCAATCTCATTTAAATTGACAAGCATTTTGGATTAAAATGATGTTTTATTTGAATCACACTTTTGTGGGATTCAGGCGTGATATCAATAATAGTAACATTCATACATCAGAAATATATTGACATTTTCTAATATGCCCATACTGTACCGATGTCATCCGCACTCCGCCAACCAATTATTTGATACTAGCAAACAATAATAGATATCAGAAATTCCTATTGCACATTGTTTATTTTTATATATTTTTTATTCTATCTCAATTATCAATAAAGACATATTTTGAAGGGCTTGAATTGACAATGCTTGATATCCCATTTTATCATTGATTGTTTTATTAACTAAAATGAACAATTTCTTTAGGCTTGCTCTTGAAGCATAAATAAATTTAACTATTGTTCCTCAATAGCCTGTTTCAAAAAAACTCTGTGGGTCCTACTTTGCTCTGCTATATTGCTATTTCAACCTCGTTGCTCTTCTCACTGGTATTGGACTTTGGGCCTACTGAATACGAATCATCCACTTTTTTTAATTTTCTAAACCAATAGTTTATGGAGAATACTTTGTAGTTGTACTATTTATTGAGATAAATGCTTCCGAAATCATTTTATGTGGGGAACATATGCAGGAGCACACATAATACCCTACCAGATTATAGGCCATTTTTTGTATAAGGGATGGTCTCTTGACTTAGTTTTTGTTTGCCCTTGTAAGGGTTCTTCCCTTAGAATATACATTCGTACAAATTTCATGACTACAACTTGTTTGTTTACTCAAAAACAAAATGACATGACATCACAAGGCAAACCACCCAAAAACAAAGCACTTGTGCCCTAGAATAAATAAGACAATTTTTATTGGGTTACATGGACTTAAAAGTAGATTTAAAAAGTAAACTTGATAATCACAACTATTGAATAAATAGTGAGTCTTTATAAATGCTTCGACTCATAGTGAAATCAATAGTTATAATTATCAAATATATTTTTTAAATTTAATTTTTAAATTCATGTAGCATTGCTAATTTTTATTTAAAATTAGATGCTTGAATCCAACACTTGACGAGTGGATAATTTAAGAGATGACTCTTACATTTATTGAGAACTTTCTACCACTTAGTTAATGGGTTGTTCATTCCTCTCAAGCCTTGTACACAACACCCAAACTTGCGAAGGGAGACGCTACAAATAACAGGCCACCAAACTCATAAACTTCACTGATTTCTACGCCATTAAATGGTGTTCCAATGCTCACCATATCCAATATGGTGCCATTTTCATTTATCTTTATTCCTGCAGGCACTGGATTCGGTGTTTGAAAATTCACTGCCACCCAAAAATCACCTGATGGAGCTCTCTTTATGTTGCCCGGGTGTTGGACATCTAACAAAATTTCTGAAGTATTTGCTTTTGGACCTTTCAACCAGTACTTCCAAATTTTATTACCCATAAATTCGGAAACAAGGACGAAGGAGAGATCTTCACTAATTGCCACCCCGCCAGCAAGTGAAAGGTTCTTAAGCAACACTGCTACCTTTCCTGTCTTGTAATCATATTTTAAGAATCTCGCTGTTGTGTCTAGATTAGCTGCTTGTCCTGGGACATGTCTAAAAGATGAACATTGCTACTGTTAACGAGTTATGAACCTAAGTGCTTGCAAAACACAAAAACCAGGGAAAATACATGAATTGTACGTACTTTAGATTATTGATGGAGCTTGAATCTGCAAAGTAAATGTCTCCGGTTAGTTGGTCAATGTCCAAAGCATTAGAAAATTTGAAGGACTCCCCTTCAGAACCAGTCGCAAGTTGTTTTGCAAGTCCACCTTCAGGTCCAACCACACAGAGCCCATAGTAAGTGTCCATCATGTATAGCTCGTTGGTTCGATGGTACATCTCTAAACCAAAAGTCCTCCCGCAAATGGTGTGCAAATCAGGGTCGTTGGTGCCATCACACAATTCCTTAGTCCTGAAAAAAAAAAAAACAAGAGGACAAACATATATGAAACAAGGTTGAAGTTCGAAGAATAAGTTTTCCACGAATGACTATTAGACTGAGTTGTTTCAGGCCAATATGCCTGTTAGTGAAGGTCTATCGAGGCAGTTTGGTTCATAGGAAAAGGGTGGATTAATGGGTGTGATTGGAAAAAACATAAACTGGAGGTCCAATATAAACAATCGAGCTTTTTTCCAATCCAATTTAAATAGCGGGGAATGGTATCAAAAAGTGTCCAAATTATCAAAAGAAAAAAAAAACCATCTGACTTACTGTTGAACAAGGTAAAAGTATATATATTATATTGCTATCCAAACATATTTTGAAAACGTAATTACATAGATTTTGAATTGGTCTACCTAAAACAACCCCAGCGTAATACATAAAACTTATCAAATGGGCCATTATGTGTTAACCCAAGTAATGCATTACCTATTTGGAGAGGCATAGGCAAAGTCGACAAAACCATTGATACGTTCTTCATACTTGACAACCCTACCATCATTCACACCTGTGTAGGGTCCCCCACCATCCCTGTCGAAAGCGTAGGCCTCAGAACCTCCTGATGGGACTTCGAAAGTAGTAAGTGGTCGAAAGGAAAGGACGATAACAGGGAAATAAAAGAAGAGGAACAAAAAGGAAAGCATAGTCATAGTTATGTAACTCGAGATGATTGCCATGTTTTTCACAAAGAACCATATCAAAATACGCAAATATTAATAGGCATAGCAATGGAAAGATAAAGGAAAATTGGCCCCTTGGAGGGGTGGGGAATACGTGGGGAGTGAGCTGAAAAAAATTAGGTGGCCAACCACGCATAGTGTTTTCCCAACTTTCATAAAGATAACGAGCAACATATTGTCCACATATCTTATCTATAGCAATGACCATAATGCTTGGTGGCAGAACTACATCATTAGATGTGTCATGCATAAATTTGATTAGGTAAACACGCAAGCAACTAGTGTCATTTTAAGATCCGTACCACGTGGTGCATGGGCGGAGCCAAGATATTTTTATGGTGGGTCAACCTGAAATTTATTAACCAATTAAAATTAAAATTATGATATTATTTTAAAATCAATATTAATTTTTAATACTTTTTTATAAATACATTATTCAGTAGAAAAACACCGATCATACGTCACATTTACGGTCTTACTGGGGTTTTGAGAGAAGTTTTAATATTTGTAATAGACTAGGGTATGTCCAACTATTTTTCGTTAGTTAGACTATATGGAAGAGTATCCACTTGAGTATGTTTTGAGTTATATTATAATATTATTTTAAAAAAATTAGTTTATTTACAAAAAAAAAAAAAAACATTGTAAAATTATCCACCACAACACCTAACACATTAGAAAAGGTGTTTAATTCAATAATTCATCATTGATCTAAATAACTTCTAAGAAAGATTCAATAAGTTCCAAGGCTATTAAAACAAAACCTAGATATAACAATTTAAAGTACCACAAATAAATTGTCCAAGTCCAATTAATCGAACCAACTTAAAATATTTAATTTTATTTTTTTAGTTGATGAAAGAATAGACATTATTTTCTTTTTAAAATACAGAGCTGTTCCTAAATTTCTTACAAACATTTCAATGGAGGCATGTTTTAAAAAATTTTAAGGATACCAAAAAATTGCACTAGGGCAATTGTCCCCACTGTTCCCAATGTGGCTCCGCCACTGATATGAAGGACATTATTATAAGCTTAAGAGTGAAGAAGATGCGTAGAACAAGGGTTGAAAAGCCTCGAGTGAAAGGTGGCATTATCGACCTATCCTTTAATTGATTGAAGAGCATTCTTGAATAGAAATTCTAGTGCAGAAGGGTCTTGTTGGTATTGACCACAACCTTTGATCGATTGAAGAATAACTTCATAGCTATAAATATTAAAGCGTAAGGTTCATGAATCGTTTGACCAATCCTTCAATCGATTGGAATGTATTTTGAAACTCAAAAAATTAGAAGATTTTATTTTTTGGGTTTGAATTAAAACAGGTATACCTCTTTCATACATGAACTATGGTTCGAAATCTGAGGAAGTCATGGTTAGATTGCCTAATGCAACTGAGAGTAATTTCAATCAATGTCGACTCAACTTCAAAAATTGTCCAGAATGAAAATGTGGTCCTACACGCATTCAATTGGTGAAGCTTCTAACAAGACACAACAATCATCTAACGCCTGAAATTTCAACACATTTTTAGCAAAAAAAACCCTATCAAACAACAATTTAAAGTGAATGTAAGAACACAGAGATTCAATACTCAATAGGTGTAGTTGGATTTCATAAATTCACAGATAAATGACACTTTACATTCTAAAAGTTTCTTAATTTTTTTTTATTTTCACCTTGAAAGATTAAAATTTTCACATTACACCCTAAATAAAATAGCAATTTGGCCTAATAGTAAATATTCGCTGCCTTTTCAGATGATTTTTGTTGTATTTGTCATATTATCTTATTTTTATACACAATTGTTTGTATAATACTCAAGTTTAAGTGTTTTGGTACTCAATTATCTTAAAATGGAGCAAATTGCTACACTTTTGCTTGATTGAAGGTACAATGTGAGAATTTTAATTATTCAATGTGTAAATTGAGAATGCGTAGATCTTTTAGTGTATAAAGTATCATTTGCCCTAAATTCACCACCATTCCTGCATTCAACCTTTCTTGATGACACTAAAACTCTAGACGCCCTATAATCTGAGGTCTAAGATGCTAAATCTCATATGCACAAATGTTTTTTAAAGTATGAGAAAATAAGGTTCCGCACTGAAAATGATAATGTCAAACTAGTATTTTCACATCGAGAAACTACCGCTACTTACTCCACAATGTTTTTCCTCTCCCTATTTTGGTATAAAATGAGATGAGATGCCTAGAGCTGGTTTTGACTCTTCCATCTCTGTCGCTCTCATCTTTGTTTAGGCATAATATGAAAAGGAAATGTGGACGGGTATCAACAGGTTGGCTTGGTACTCTCTTGTTCTTTATCTATATTCATGCAAATGTGAGAAATGTATCACCAATGTTGTAATGTTAAATAACATCAAATACATGGTGCAAATCAATCCTATATGTTATGTGGTATAAAATTAATTAAGGTTCGTATAGGCTAGAAAATGAGAAGATGGCCCTTGACTAGGTGTGCAACTTGGGCGGGCCACGCTGAACCTAAATCGAAAAAAACAAGGGAAAATTGGAAGGAGGTACATCAAATTAGAGTTAATTGTAAAAAGGTACACAAAAAAAAATGTAGAGGAAAAAAATCTTTAATTTTGATACTTATTTGTGTCCAAATACGTTATTTGAAATTTTCTGATTTGTTTGTGTCATTTTTGTCCTCCCTTGATCCATGCGTAATTTTTTTGGAAAGTGGTGCATTAAACATCTCATAGTTTTATGGGAGAACTTTAATATTCCATATTTGTGTGTCCTCCCTTAATTTATGCGTATTTTGTTTTTGGAAAGTGATTTTGTTTTTTCATAATATATTTAATGCATCTTGATTTATGCGTTTTTTTTGGAAAGTGGCTTTGTTTTCAAATTATATTAATATCCGAACTCTATAACAGTGTAACAATAACAGTATAACAATGTAACAATAATATTGTACTATTATATTTTGTCAAACATATATTTTCATATAATTTCATTCAAAACAATCCATCTCTATTTTGAATTTGTTACCACATGCACAAAATCATAGAACGCTGTTTTTGTTACAGTGTAGTGTCACACTATTATGGAGTTCGCATATTAACAAATTTTAAAATTTGAATAAGTGATATATCTTAAAATAAATAGAATATTAAAGTTCGCCAATAAAACTACTAGTAGTAAATATTTAATGCATAAATATAATTTGAAAACAAAACAATTTTTCAAAAAACAAAATATGCATGAATCAATGTGCATTAAATATAAGAGATTTTGAATTAAATGACCCCAAATTTCAGCGTTTAAGATAAATGCCTTGTTACAATTTTTTTTTAAAAAAAATTTACGAAATAGACATTTAAGTCTTTGTATCTCAATTATGTACTTTTTTTCCAAAACATTTTGCTTTGTGTACTTTTTTACAATTATGTCTAATTTGGTATAGCAGCTTCCAAAGGACCCAAAAAAAAATTTTAGGATTAAGGTTTTTAGAGTTAGGGTTGAAAAGCTTCAAGCCGAATTGAATTCGGACAAAGCTCAGGTTCACAAGTTCAACTCGAACCCCACCAAAATTCATGAAATCAGGCTCAACCCAAACCCAACCTAAATTCATGTATGATATTTATAAATAATATATAAATATATATTTGGTAATTATTATTATTTCAAGAGTGAGTGAAACATGATTTATGAGGACTATAGATGGTAAAAGAAGTTTATACAACCGATGCGGGATAAGGAAAAAAGGCAAAAGAAAGATAAAGAGTTGTCATCCCACATCGGATAGACAACTCAAATGACATCCCCTCTCTCCCCTATATAAAGAAGTCTCACCCTCACAACCTTAATTAGTTGTCGTAATGGGTTTCTTCTTAGTTGGCCATATTCATTAGAAGAACACCAATCATGCGTCACTTTTACGGTCTCATTGGGGTTTTGAGAGAATTCTTAATATTTGTAATATGCTAGGGTGTGTCCGGCTATTTTTTGTTAATCAGACCATATGGAGGAGTATCTGTAAAACCCGGTAAATTTAAACTTTTTACAAAAAGGGCAAAACGATAAATTGTCGCTACAGTGCGGGTTGAAAACCTAAATTTTTTTAGATCTCGAATGATGAAACTGACTTTACCGTTAGATTTGTCTCGTGAAATCTAGTTACCCTGTCAAATTTCATCAAATTTCAAGATAGCCGGATTTTTTGCGTTTTACAAAGCGGTCGAGTCTAGGGTGACCCAAAAACGAGATTTTTGATAAAATTTCAAAATTTGGGAAATAATTTAAGGCAAATTAAAATAAAATTATTTTAAACTTGAACCGGGACAAAATTTAATCGTTTCAGGGCAAAAACAGACTCAGAAAAATAGGGCTGTGTGGTGCATTGTGGGCCAAGCATTGAAAAATATAAATAGGGGGAAAAATCTGAATTTCTCCCCACACACACACTCAACCATTATCGATAGAGAAGAGAGGGAAAAGAGAGAGCTCTTTCACCTTCTCTCTACGATCTATGGAGATCGAGTGTTCGGATTCACTCGGGCCAAGAAGGAAAATTGGTCTCCTCGACGTGGGCTACAAAACCATACCAAGGAGGTCAGTTTTGGGCGAGATTCCAAGGATGGGATTTTTGGGAGGAGAAGATTCTAGCTAGAAGCGGGTTCTTGGGACTTTCTATGATCGTTCTTTACGCTTCAAGAGGTAGGGTTCCTTCTTAATTAGGTTTATTTAACAACCTAGGGTGTGTTATGTAATGGGTATGTTGATAAATATATTTTATCATTACCTATGTTGTAGAAATTGATGAAATGGGTATTGAATTTGGGTAAAATTAAATTTTACCTTGAAATAGATTGTGAATTAAACTCAATGTGATCCATGGAAATTGGGTGTTATGTGGGCATGTTATGTGTTTATTTTATGCCTGGAGAATTAAGTATGTTGTTAGCATATGTTATGTAACTACATGCTTGTGAATTATTATTGAAAATGAAATGTTGGTATATG